TCACCCCCGTCCACCCCCGCGTCCCCCGCGCCCCTGGATCGCCACCCCGTGCCCCCCCCCCCCCCTGGCCTACCAGGCAACCTGGAATTGTCAGCCCCCCCGTCTGCCTGCCCTGCCCCCCCGCTATTGCGGGGGCGAGGAGGCCCGCGAAACAATTTGTTTTATCGTCCGCCCCATTTTTTTATATAAAAAACCTTCATTCGAAGCACCCCTGCTTTTTGGAAGGCGCGGGCCTTGTCTATAGGTGTAAGGGCTGCGCCTTCTGAGAAGCAGCTTCTAAGAAGATTTCCCCCCCCTCCCCCTGCCCCCATGCGCGCGCCGCCACATTCGGGCGCGCGCGGCGCGCGCCGCAGGCCCCGCCGGACGTGGAGCGGGCCGCGGGCAAGCAGTCGGGCGTGATCGGTTCGCCGGCGTGCGGGCTGCCAGCGACGCCCCCGACCTCTAGGCGCGCAGCGTCGAGGGCAGAATGTGGCTCTCGGAGGTTTTCTCGCGTCGGCTGCGCTCCAGCGGCTGCGCTTTTTCGCCGAGGACGTCCCCGGTGCGCCCGGCTCGTCCCGAACGGCCGCCGGAGAGCCGAGTTGTGACCCGAAAGCCAGCCCCCTCGCGTCGTGAGAAAGCCACGACGGACCGTGTTTCGTTATTTTCGGCCTCTGGGGGTCTCTTCCAGGCCCCCAGGACTGTCAAACATGACCCCCTTGCTTCCTGATCCGCCGTATTTGGGCTGACTCCCCGATTCCTTATTAATTGTATCGGAAGTGCACCCCAAACGATGCGAAACTGTAGGGCGGAACATTCCGCTTCAGAAGCAAGGGTAGTGCGGGTACGTACGCAAACATATTGCATAAACGACGACGGCAAAGTCGGGCGGATATTGACATCAAAGGAGCTTGGAAGAAGGGCGGCAATTTTCGCCCAACTTGCGAAACCACCCAACGTACATCGGATCCGAAGTCACGGCTGGCGTCCAGGAGAGGGGTTAGGACGCCTTTCTGGGCCTCCCAGATGGGGTCCGAGCAGATGGGGTCGGAGGATCGCGCCGAATTGCGGATGCCTCGCCGATGCGGCTCGATGTGGAGCCCGAGTTTCTCCGCGCCAACGGCGCAAATGCATCGCCGATGTCGCCGATGCATCGGCGATGCGGCGCGATCCTCCGAGTCCCTCTGGGAAGCTTGTAGTCTTCGTCGTTGTTGGGGCAGGGGGGGAGGAAATCCTCGTCGGTTCTCGGGGGTTTTCTCGCTTCGGGCTGCTTTCCAGCAGCTTTCAGGAGCTGCCTGGGGTGGTCTTGTGGCAAATCACGGGCTGCTGCGTGCCACCTCGGAGGGCCGTTCGAGTCAGAAAAAACTGCGTGAGCACAAGCTTCTGAAGGCCCGCTCGGATTTCTGGAAGCTGTGCTGGGCCCCCCTGGCGGCGCCTCCGGTGCCGCAGCAGGCGCGCTCCCAGCGCGCGCGCGACAAGAAAGGGGGTCCAGCGCCGATTCAAGAAATCCGCGCGGGCCCTCCCTTCCTGACCTAGGAGGGCGGCCGAGTACGTCCAGAGGCGCCCCGAATTGAAGCAGGAGAGTCATGCGCAGGCGCAGTGCGACTACGATTGGAAAGCGTTGTTCGGAGGGCTGGGTGTGGGATGCATCTTGCGGAGCACCGCTTGGTTTCCTCCTCCTCCGCCGCCTCTTCCACATCATCACCATCACATCATCATCAGCAGCAGCATCATCATGATTATCGTCATCGTCATCACCACCACCACCACCATCATCATCATCATCATCACCATCACCATCATCATTATAATCATCATCATCATCATCATCATCATCATCATCATCATCATCAGCATCAGCATCAGCATCATCATCATCATCATCATCATCATCATCATCATCATCATCATCATCATCATTATCATCATCATCATTATCATCACCATCATCATCATCATCATCAGCATCATCATCATGAAGCGCACCTGGGCTCAGGACTCGTCCCAGCAGCGCAACAGGGAGCGCCCGTCTCTCCACCTCCAGCAGGCGCGCCGGCCTTCGAGGCGCCCAGCGGCGCGCAGCCGAGGATCAGGAGCTGGGCTGGTCGCCAGTATCAAGCTGAGAAGCTGGGTGGCGGGTACTCTGCTCTTCGCTTTGGGTGGTCACCGTCGGCGTTGACGAAACGCTCGGCTGGATGCATCATTCTACTCGGACGACACTTTCGCCTCAGGGACGTCGTCGACGTCGTCGTGCCGCCGAAGGCTATCCAGGGGCGCGCGGGCGCTCTGCCGGTCCAGAGCGGCAAGTTCGACGTGGCGCCGGTCGTGGGCTATCCTCCGCCGCCTGGGGCGACGGGCAGGACGATCGCTGCCTGCGAGTCGGCGGCCAAGACGACGCACGTGTGGATTGACAACACCGTCGAGGGCACGCGCGCGAGGTCTGACCCTGCCGTGGGCCTTCACGTGAACAGCGGCTTCGGCGAGCGCGGCGAAGGCGTCCCCCTTTGCTGATTCACGCGCTGGTGAGTATCGGGCTCGGCAGAATCTCTCGGGCGATCTGGCTGAGCAACTCTGCCATCATAGGTCTCTCTGCTCACCCAGCACTTGGTATCGCGAGGGTGGCCCCACCTTTTTTGGTACCAGTGGGGCGGGATCTACCACCGACCACTGATACCAGATCGACGCCCGCGTGATCATTCACCGTTGCTGCTGGTGCTGGGCTACATTCTCGAAGTGTCTGGCGGGCTCGCCTCGACGGGCTCGAAGCCTCGGCTCACGCGCGACCTTCAAAAGCTCTCCGAGTCGCTGCAGGCGGGGAAGTGGCGCGACACGTTCTTGGTACGTTTCCGGGCTTTGTTTGTGCAGCATGAGGGTGAGTTCGCTAGCTTTCGCGAAGCAAGACGAGTTGACCAGCACTGGGGATCGGCGATCCAGCTGATACAGGAGGCTGGCCAAGAGCGCTATCCACCTGCACGACACAACGCGGCAGAGGCGACGGCAGTACTTGACGACGCCAGAGTCACGCCCTTCTGCGCAGGCGGTGGAGGCACACATGGCGAAGCCGAGCGCGGAGGGGGGCATGTCTGCCGTTCGCGTCGATCGATCAGAGCTTCTAGGGCGACGAGGCACGTTGTCACGCGCTCCCCTGGAAGGGAGCGACTACCTCGACACGCTGGCCGAACGAGATCTACGACGCACAGTATCGGCCATGCGGGATTTGAATTATGAGGGGATCTGTGGAACACTCATTTGGGTAGTGAGAGGCTGCGCTCGTTGGTGCAACGCGCGGGGCGATACAATCGTATCTCCAGTCGGCCGCATCTCGAGAGCCGGTCGGCGGGGCCAGCCGTTGGGTTATGGTCGGCCCGAGGTTCGGCCCCTTCGCCCTGCGTTTTCGCTGGTCGTAACGGTCACAGTCACAGCACACATCCTCACGTTTTGTCATCTGATAGAGTGTTCATCGGGTAAGTGTCCCAGTCTTCCGGCGTAAGCTCCGAGAGATGGGGCTTACGGCGCATAATGGAAAAAACATCACCATCCTCATCCTCTTCCTCATCATCATACTCATCATGATCATCTGCATCTTCAGCTGCTTCTGCATGTACATCCTCATATTCACATTCATCTTCACATTCATCGTCATCTTCAGCGGCATCATCATCAGCATCAGCACCACCATCATCATCACCATCATCAACATTAGCATTACCATTATCATCCTAAGTTTCATCCCCAGCATAATCATCAGTAGGATCCTCGCCTTCCCAAGGCAGTGCGCTTCTTCAGAATTATATCCGTTTTCTCTGTTTCAGCGTTGCTCTGCATTGTCATGATGTGGCGTTGGCTGGGCCGCGCATCGTATCTAAGTGCCATCTTGGTTGTCGTCGTCGTTCTCGTCCGCCTCCTCGCCCTCTCCTCCGAATGCGACCAAGCGATTCAGAACTGTCTGGGTCGCAGCGCAGCGCCCCACTGTCCAGGCCCGTCCTTGTTGTCGCCGTCGCCGTCCAGGCCGCCAGGCCGCAGCCAGCGGCCCAGACTAGAAACAAGTATCTGCTCAATCGTCCTTGTCCAATTCGTTGCTCACCGCTTGGTCGCATTACCCTCCGCGCCGTTGCCCCCCCCTGTACAGCAGCCTGCTGCCCCGACGAAGTGGTTCCAAGAACACGCTGGAGGACACGCGGAAGAAGCGCGCCAAGTGCTCCACGCGCGCAGTCCAGGGCATACTGTTCATAGTTGAGTCGAAGGCGGCCTCTCCTTTTTCAGTGTATGTGTGTGTGTGCATGGCGTAGGGGGAGACTCGCAAGCGCTGGGGACCCAGACCGCATCGCGTCGAACAAAAAACACGACGGCAGGGTGTGTCCCATGCTTGCCCTCTGGGGGCCCTCGCCGGGCCCCAGCACGGTCGGAAAACAACTCGGGATGAAAACCTGTTCCTGGAGAGTGGGTTGAGAACCATGGCGGTCGATATTACGAACAAGTCACAACTTCGGGGGCTTGGGAACGACTGAGGGAGCTCCATGGGCGACTTCTCGGGGACGTCAACAGACAACCTCACCGATCCTGGGCGGGCTGGTGTTTTGCCCAGGATGGGCCGGGTCCGGATCGGTGAGATGCCCAGATGACGTCCCCAAAATTTGACATCCGCAACGTCGCAGCTGCCGGGGCTCTGGTTCAAAACTGAAGCACGGCGGATTTGACGATTTTTCGCCAAACGAGTTGTGGAGGGCAAGTCAGATCAACTTGTGTAATTCCAGGCAAATCGATGCGCATCCATGTACATCCAAGCAAATCCAGAGATCTCCAGGGACATCTGGAGCGAATCGTGGACGCGCGCGCCCGCACGGGTTGAGGGACAGCAGAAGATGTTAAGCCTTCAACGACCTCCTGCCAGGGCCGCAGAAGCCTCTGCGGCCCCGAGGCTCCGCATCCGCAGCAGAGCTTCGGCGCCACCGTGGGGGCGGGGGGGCCCAGCTGGACGCTCGATGGCAGTGGAGGCGGCGGGGGAGCTGTAGCCGAATCGGGCAGTGGCAAGCTCGAGGGCAAGAGGGGATGATGCAGCCGACCCGGCTCATCTTTGGAGTCCAGGGAGGAGGAGGAGGATGAGGATGAGGAGGAGGAGGAGGAGGGGGAGGAGGAGGAGCAGGAGGAGGAGGAGGAGGAGGAGGAGGAGAAGGAGGGGGAGGAGGAGGAGGAGGCAGGGGGAGATGTGGCCGAGGGCGGGGTCACCAGCGCCTGCTTGAAGCTCGAGGAGCTTGCTGGACGCTCGGTGCGTCGCCCTGGCAGGCTCCGGAGGGCTCTTGGGGGGGCCCCTTGCCTCGAGGCAGCGGCGCTTCCTCGAGGAAGTCGTGGCGCCCGTAGTGATGACCTCCCTCGGCACTGCCCCAACGAAGAAGAGAAGACAGAGCAAACACGAGCCACGCAGAAGAAAACGCGGTCGTCCTCGCCGAGACTGGCGCGTCAGCTGCCCGCGTAAGGTCGCGCGTGGGCACCCTCGTCTCTCCGACGCAGCGGGCCGCGCTGGCGGCCAGCGTGAGCGGCGGCGTAGGCTCGCCACGTCCTCTCGCGCAAGACCCGTTTTGAACCGTCGCTCACCGGACGTTTTTTTGTTTTTTTTGTTTTTTGCGATATATATATATATATATATATATATATGTTATCCTAAACCGTTGTGTGGTACCCTTCGGAGGTCCACGCGGATGCCTCGGGCTCGGCGCTGGGCCCCCCCCTTGCGCCGACGCGCGGAGCGCCGCCCGAGGCGGCGCGCCCACTCCTCGCCCGGCGCGCGGCCCCGCGGTGCCCCACCGATCGCCCGGGAGCGTGCGCGCTCGCCGCCGTGCACCGGCTGTCGGTACGTCGGCGATGCGCAGCGACGAGGACGAGGACGACGACGACGACGACGACGAGGACGATGACGACGACGACGAGGACGACGAGGAACGACGACGACGACGACGACGAGGAGGATGACGACGAGGACGAGGACGAGGACGACGACGACGACGACGACGACGACGACGACGACGACGACGACGACGACGACGACGACGGCTGCGGCGACGGCGGCGGCGTCGACCTCGTTCCCCTCGAGCTCGTTCCCCTCGTTTGGCCCCGATTCGAGCCTGTCTCCCCAAACTTGTAAAGGGCGCCTCGCCATAGTAACGCACCCTGGGGGCCTTGGGGAACCCGTTGGGCTTGGTTGCCAGGGCACCGTGCCCTGGCGACTTCGTGGGGCCATCACGTCAGCCTTCTGGCCCCGCGAAGGTTCGGGGCCCAAACCTTCGGAGGTCTGGACCTTTGCCCCGAGACCGGCTTTCCATCCTGTGTCGTTTGGCTGACGGCCCCCCGGGCCCGGCGACGGGCCCTAGAGGGGCAGGACGGTGGCGACGACAGCGACGACGAAGAAGTCGGGGGCGAGGGCGAGGACGACGGCGACGACCAAGCAGATTTGCCAGTCCAGTTAGATCAGCCAGGTAGACCCACCAGATCAGACCAGACCGTACCAGATGCAAAGAGACTGCAATTCAAAAAAAAACTGCAAAGCACGAAACAACTGCAATGCAACAAAAAACTGTTGTTCGGTGGTCGTAGTGGTTGGCGCTGCCTCCCTGGACCTCCCCTAAACCACTCTCGCCCGAATCCTAAGCTAAGTCTTCAGGACTAAGCTCAAACCAGACCAGCCAGACCAGATTTGAAGCTTCAAGTTCAAGCTTAAAGCTGAAGCTTCAAGCTTGCTCTTTGGAAGCTTGGCGGCCCGCCGTGCTCTGCATGGCTAAGAACTGTCTCGGCGCCACCTCAACATACTAATACTATGTGTTCGTCGCCCCCTCAGGGGCGACGCGCGCACTGAGAAATCTTATAGTAAATGCGTCGTGGCGGGCGCTTTCTGGCCGCACCGTGCGGGAAACGATCTCCTACAAGATGGGTATATCATATGTTCTGGTCGGACGCGCGCCTCCAAGGAGGACATCTAGTACCAGCATGTCTCCGTGTGCGTCCCATTCGGGGGGGGGATGTCGTGGCCAGGGCCATGAGGTCTCCCCATACCTCATGGCGCCTCTCCTTACTTTCATCTTGCCATTGCTCGGGTGTGTGCATGTTTTTCTCGGTGGGGACTATCGAGGAGCATCCTGGACCATCGTGCGTGACATAAGCGCAAGAAGCCGAAGCATGCACAGGGACTGCGTCCGAGCGATGGCGAGGAATGCGCTTCCTGGCCCCCCCTGGGCCGGGCGCGTGCCCCGAGCCATGGGTTGCGACCCCCCTTATGGTTGACGCCCGCCCACTCGGATGCCCCCGAGCTTTGATTCCCAACCGGCCGGTGGTGCTGGGTCCTCGTTTTGAGGAGACAGCGCCCCGCGTTCCTCCTTGTCCTCCTCCTCCTCCTCCTCCTTTCTTCCCGCAGCCCTTGGGGACCAATGTCTGAGGTGTCCACGCATGCATACGTCAGCGGTGAGATAGGCGGCAAGTGTAGCGGTGGACGAGGAGAGCAGCAATGGCCAGCATCAACCCGACTCGCAATACAAATCGAGCGGGGCGTATAGATGGGCAACTGACGCCTCCAGCCATGCATCCCCAGGAGGCGTGGGGGCACAGCGTTGTGAGGCTGCCTGCGTGATGACCGCAGCTGCGTAGACTTCAATCTGGCTGCTGTCGGTAGGGGCCATGATCGGCATGGCATTCATGCACAGGCACTGACGGTCCCCCATGGGCTCACATCTCGACGTGACCGTCGGAGACGTATCTTGCAGGGAGCACAGGAACCTGACCTCGGGGACCTTCCACATGCAGGGAAGGTTGGCTTGCGGAGCCGGTGGGTTTAAAATGAGCAACACCGCCAGGCCCGAGGACGCCGCACACAGCGCAAGCGTCAGTGCCGCCCTCAAACAGGCACTGTCGAGCTCCAGCTGCTTCCACTCCGCGGGCGACCTGGCAGAAATTCCCCAAGGCTCATCGCAGCTCCTTAAAGGCCTGCACTCACCGCCCTTGACTTTGCAGCGGGGGGTGGGGTCCCACGAGGAAAGGAAGAAATCCGCCACGAGTCCAATGACACGCCCAGCAAGAATGAGATCAGCAATGAGCAATAGCTCCTTATGGAGTCCCTCAGTGGAGTCCTGAAAAAGCTCGCGAATATTAATAGACAAAACAAAAACATCCATGCCCACCATGGCACTGGACTTCTCCGCTCTGTCCTGGATGTCACCTTGACTCCTGGGAGCTGCACGGAGGATCACAATGTATTTAGTGCCCGGGGTCGCAGGCATGTGGACCTCTGCCTGCGTGGGCATCTCTTCCTGGATGCATACTGGTTGGCACGAAATTCTCGGCATGCAAGTGGGAAGGCCCTTGGAGGCAGCCGCTCCCCTCAGCCTAGGTCCCATCGTGAGGACAGGCGGGAGCTGCGCGGACTCCGCATAGTGGCCTTTCTCGCGAAGCGTGCGTGCTAGCTCCGCGTCCTCCGCCTTAGCCGCCATCATTTGTTCGGGGCTCATCGGTGCGATGACGGCCATAAGGTCCGCCAGGCACTTCGATGAGCCATGCCGAACGTGTTTAAGCAATCTAAGATGTGTGTGGAAGTTGAAACCGCAAGCCATGCACACAGTGCCTGAAGCGTAACTGGGGGCGGGATCTAGGTGCGGGTGGCACTTAGAGCGATGGGAGGCCCAAGCGCCCTTGGTGGCCAACACCGCTCCACAGTCCAGGCAGGGATACAAGGCGAGAACCGACGGCGGACGCAGAAACGACGGGAGCGCAAGACCCTTTGTGATGCAACACTTCCGCCACCCGTCTTTGAATTCTTCGTGGCGCTGATCGTCCAAAAATTTGGCCCTGGCAGCCGATTCAGCTTGCTTGCAAATTCGCTTCCAGAACTTGTTGCTGCTAGACCTCAGGAGCCACAGCCACCGAGCAGGGGGCCCTGACGGTAAGAATGCCCTGTCCAGATTCACGTGTCTGCTGAGCCATATCAGGTCATCGCAACACAGTGCGGACCAAGATTCAGGCACAGAGGCTAACTCGTCCAGGATCGCCAGCAGACACGCAGGCGCCGATTTGAGAAGCCTGGGAAGAAATCGCAGCCGCCTGAGCCTTAGTACCAGCTCGACGGGCATGATCTCACATTTGACAAAAACTCTATGGTCTGCAGCAACCTTACCAGAGCCAGCATCATACCCAAGCCCAGCCGCCAATCTAAACGGGCTCAAATAGTTGTGGGCAAGGGTCGCCATCTGTTTCACGTTTAACTTGTGCCAGGTGAGGGCATTAAACAGAAGGTGCGACGTGCACAAAGACGTAACAAAGATTAACTTGGCCCTTAAATTGACTTGCTTCCTGGGAAAAACAGTGCGCCTCAGTGCCCCTAGGGGGCGTCGCTGCTGATGACAACGGTGCGCCAGCTCAGGTCCCATAGAAATTTGATGGCCCTGGTAACTTCCCAAGTGTTTGTAGGTTCTAGTGAGGCACAGGGAGACGCCTAAGGAGGGGACGAGAAGACCAGTGGCAGCCAAGGCTGCGCACTCCCCTCGTGCCTTCCTGGAACCTGTGCCGCTGAAGAAGGCCATGAGCTCCGTCTTGCCCGCCTTCCAGTTCATGGTGAACCCCCTAGACTTGGTTTCTTCGTACATTATCGTGACGAGGGCGATGGCCGCCTCCTTCCAGAGCCTAGCGTCTAACAGCTCGATGCCGTTGACGAGGTCATCCATGAAGGCAGGATCCCATACGTCTTCTTCTGCATGCTCGTGTTCGCGGCCTCTAAAAATCCTCTGAGACGGGACCACCTCCTTAGTCCTCTGAAGATACCCCAGGGATGCTAATCTACTGTTGACCGCGATGATGATTGGGTCGAAGGCTATGATGAACAGGAGGTCTGCTAGTGGCATGCCTGGCCTCGTACCTAGGCGGGGGGAGACGACCCTGGTACTCCCCCGCACTTGGAACCAGTTGCATTCCATCACGTCAACCACTGCTTCCAGGAGGTGCTTACTTCTCAGCCCGTCTAGGGCTCCAGGCTTGGCGACTAGGGCATGGCACAGGGGCTCCAGACAACTAGGTATCTCCAAGCCCGTTAGCGCGTTCAGGATGTCCTCACTGCTCTGGGCCATTCTGGCAACGAACCCCCGGATGACCGAGTAGAATGCCGCCTTTAGATCGGTGTACAGCGACAAGTATGTGTGCTTCCTAGCCTTAGCAGCCAACATGGCCGACCGAAGATGCAAGGATGCAATGTCAGTGCCGCGCTGAGGGAGAGCTCCCTGCTGGACCACCGACAGCATGTTCATCGTTGCCTCTAGAAGTTTACTCCTGAGGAAGGCATGGTGCAACTTCGCCGTGTGGCATCCCAGCAGGATGCCTCTGTAGTGCTCCAGGGGTTCGGGGGACCCAGATTCGTGTAGATCACATTGCCAACCCCCTTTGAACAGCAGGGGCTCCCTGGACGCCATGTCAACTTTCACGAACAACGGCAGCAATATCTGCGTGCATTCTTGCGGAGCGACCTGGAAAAGATCATTGCTTAGCCCGTCAGGCCCAGCACCTCTCCTCTTGGCTGCCTTCATGATGTCGTGCTTGAGCCTGCGGAAAGGGGTGATCATGTCCAACTCCCTGGGATATACATTTCCACGCTCAGGGAGGGCGTTGTATCTCTCAACCAGTTCATCCCAACTGAGTGCCTGCCCATTCTCAATTACCGTGAAATGATCAGTGAGGGCCTCCGAGAGATCTCCAGATGTGGCAAGAACCTCGCCCTGAGAACCTCGTCGGATTCTAAGCCCGTCAACTTGGAACTTGGAGCGCTTTCCCCCAAACCTTTGCAGCTGGCATAGCACTCTCCACTCCACTCTACTCTCGTTTGAGGACCTAGCGTTGCACAACTGCTGCGCGAGGTCGTCTAGCAGTTCATTGCGCGAGAGCTTCAAGGCCCTTCTCAGGGCCGGCTTCGACTTGACCAGGAACTCAAGCATGTGTGCGGCTAGCTCGCTTGCCGCCAAGATCTGCTTATCCCACTCAGCGAAAGCCTGGAAAAGCTCGGAGACCAGGAGGTCCAGCTCGAGATCGGTGATGTTCTGGGGGGCCCCCGCCTCCAGCGCCGCGGCGACCAGCCTCCTGAGCCCATTAGAGTCCTGCTTACCCCAGAGACGCCACGCCTGCCGCACTTGCCTTCTGAAGATGATAATGCCCAGAAGAGCCTCTGAAACATATGGCCTGATCGGAGTACGTGCAGGTTTAGGGAAGCAAGCTTGTGCACCCACTAACATGTATTGAATGATGTCGTGCAAGTGTTGATTCATGTCGACCTGGTGAGGCACCGTGGGAAACGCTGCCAGGTGCATCCTGAAGGCTGCTGCCTTATCAGGGTCCTGGGTGCCCCTAGCGTCGTAGTCGGTCTGTTGTTGCGCTGCTTTGGTGGAGCCCTGGGACTCGAAGCGCATGAAGACAGGAAAATGATCCTTGCCAGTGCAAAAGGAATCAATATCATATCGTACTTGATGTTGCCCCAATGCGGGAATCATGTCCTGCTCAACCGCAATGTAGTCTATTCTGTGTGGTGTCTCAGACTTCGTCGAGACGAACGTGTACGAGTCCTTGCTGAGAGAGGGGGCTAGCGTGTTAGCCGCAGCTAAGCCCGTCTCCAAGAGCATGTCATGAAGCAGCCCGCCCGATTCGTCCTCATCTTGCCTGAATCCTTCGCTGCCCACTGCCTCAGACACAATGCTGCCGAGCCTGGCATTCGCGTCCAGGAAGGCCAACTGTACTTTCCATGTATGGCAGATCCCAATGAGGTCCCGCCACCACTGTTTCCTCTGCTGTGAGGTATATTCGTCTCCGTTGTGCAGCGCATGGGCAACCAGGATGACCTTCCTAAAGAGTGGGGCACAACAGCCAACCACCAGGTGCCTCTGGGTAGCGTACAACGGTCTAAAATGTTTCTGCTCAAAAAAAAGCTCCTCGCCCCCACGTCGCCCATAGGGTAGGTGCAGTGAGACCCAAAGCTCGACACCCAAGTTCTTGCCACCATCGGATCCCGAGGAAAGCACAAAGTATCCAGCAGAACACCTTTCCCCCGACGGATTCCTCGCCTCCTGCACCCCAATGATGTGGCACTGCTCTTGAGCAAACTGCAACCTGAGAACCTCTCCCGACGTTTTGGCGCGTCTTGCCGCCGTGGCCTCCGCGTCCCTGCCTGTCTTGGCGTTGAAGGTGGCAAGTCTCACGCTGATACTGAACTGGCAAGACTTGGGGGTCGTCTTCTGCGAGGGTTGGGATCCCATAGTATCCCTTAGCGTCTCCACCGACGCTTGAGGGCGCCCAGGATACCGAAAGGTGTTGTCGGGGCCTATAGGGTACGCTTCTCTTGTGTCCGTAGGTGCCTCCTTTAGCCACCACCATTCGAGGTCGTTCGTGTACCTGAGTGCCTCGCGTAAGGCCGGCGGGGGTGAGCACCCAGCCGCTCGGTCCGATCGTGCAAGACTGTCTGCCAACTCATTCCAAGGATGCCCAGAGTGACCGCATACATGCAAAAGCAAAGTGCCGTGTCTCCTTAGCGCACACTGGTATATATGGCATGTAAGCCAGGCCAGGTGTTGGTTCTCCGACGGGACCTCCAAACCCAAGGATATGTTGACAGCCGACTGGTTATCGCAAAAAATGGCCAGAGCTGGGGGGGAGTGTACCGTGTTCGGCCCGAAGAAACCCAAGATCCAGAGTGAGCTCCATAATATCCCCATGAGCTCGATAGTCGTGCTAGTGACGTCGTCCCTTTCGAATTGCATTGCTGTGGATTCCCATGCGCTCATTTTTTGCCACCCCAGGAAGCTCACCGTGTCGTCAGGCGAGATCGCGACAGCAGCGAAGGCCCAGGCTGAGTCCCTGAGCGTCTTTCTGTACGAGGCGTCGACATAGATATGTACTGATCTCGCTCTATGTGCCCCGCGCGCAGAGATATCCAGAGCAAATTTGGCAGTGTGATGTAAGGGAATATCTCCAAAATCGTCACTGCAAAGCTCAAACCAGTTGATGTTCTGGAGTAAAACCTGATATATCCTGTCCGCTTCCTGAAAATCACAGTGCCCACTGCCATTGCTCTCAGGATACTGGAAAAGTAAAGGGAACAGACGCAGGGAAGTAGTATACCCGCCGTCCTCCCTCAACGCCATCGCACTCCCCCCAGCAACTGCTTCGAGCTGCTCCCTGGTTGGAGCGGGGTGCGGCGGCGGGGGGGGAGGGGCAGTCACCACCGCTATTGTAATTGACGTTTGATTGGCCTCGTGTCCTCGCACCCCATGCGCAGCGTGCTGTACTTCGCGAGGACGAGGCAAGAAAAGATGCTCCTTCGAGGCCTTGCCCCGCAAGCGATACCTCGTTCGGCCGTTGGACCGAGTGGAAGCTGATGATGAGTCCTCAGTGGCATCACCTGAAGTGGATGCCGAAGAAATATTGCCTGACTGCGAATACCCAAGACCACATCCCTTGGTCGAGATATCCGAGGCATGGGCCGACCTAAGAATCGGCCTAGTGAAACAGGTCCGAGAAAGCGTGTCCCTGGCTTGTCGGACAATTATAGGTGCATGCGCTTCAAAGCGATTCACTTCTACTGTGCCCCATGAGACCCTGCTGGGCCTTACAAGTTGGACCCGTCTTCCAGCTCGTAACCCTGGCACTGCATCTTCTTGGGGGGGGACCTGTTGGGCGAGTCTCCCATGTCCCTCTCTTTGTTCTCCTCCTCCTCTAGCGGTCGGGTCCTCGAAGCCGCAGGAGGTGCGTCCGCTGCTGGTGCCGCTGTAACTGCCGCAGGCGCTGCCGATGCTGACGATGCTGCCGTTGAAGATGTTACTGCCGCTGCTGCTGCTGCTGCCCACGCGGGGGGGAACAGCGCAGCGGGCACTGGCTGCGGAGGATCCACTGGCGATCCAGGCGACCTCTGCGCCGGCGGTGGTGTGGGAGAGCGCTGTGTCTGACTGATCAGGTCGATGGAGGCCCCCTGGATGTGCTGCAAGATGTGCGCTGGCCCAGGTATCATTTCCTCCATCACCATTGGCTGCGTCGCGATCAGTAGCTCTGGGTCTATCGGCAGGACCTCATCCTTGGGCTCGTTCCTCTGCAGTTCTGCTGTTACCCTGGGCACGCCCTTCACCCTCGGTGTGTCTGGAACTGCCTTCTCCTCGGCCTGGGCCCTGGTTTCGGCTGAGACGCCTCTGCCGGGGGCCCTGGCTGGTTTCGGCGACGCCGACTGTCTCTTCGGCGGCGGTGTCCTTGCCAGGGGAGGCTCTAGCGAGCTCGCTCTGCGCTGCGTAGGCGCCCTCGGCCCCGTGGCTGGCGCTGCACCAGGGGGGGCTTCGCCAAAACCTGGCGCCGTGGAGGCGAGGTCCCTCTGCGTGCGCTCAGGCGCCAACCCCTGAAGATCAGGGGGGCTCGCACTAGGGATCGAGAGTCCCGAGATCACCGCCCGCTGTGCCTTCTGAATCGTCTGCGCATCCATGAGCACATCACCTGCTGCTGCACCGATGCCGACTCCCAATACCCTGGCCAGGGCGAAGGCATGGAAGTTCTGGCCCGTCTGCATCCTCGAGAGGTGCTCCTGGATGGCTTGCTGCTGGGCCTGCACGGCTCTCATCTGCTCCGTCATCGCGGTGATGGCAGCCGCCGTTGGGCCCTCTTGCCCCTCCGTACGCAGTCCACTGTGCCATGCTGCGCGCGGGCCGTCGGG